TGTCACACGCATCAGGCTCCTTTGCGGTCCAGGCTCGGCCCCGGGGGCCAGGGCTGCCGGGTGGAGCAGAAAGACCACAGCCCACCCTCCCCGGGGTTCCGGGTCTGGGGGCGGGAGGACAGACAATCGGGAGTCCGAGAAAGCACCCCGCGTGTTAGATGGCGCAGGTGCTCTGGAGAAAAACAAGCAGAAACATCGCGAGGTGGGATCACACCTTTAGGCTGGGGGTCGGAGAAAATGACATCCGAGTTGGACTTAAAGGAAGCCGGAGGGTACCACCCCTGGCAGAGGGACCAGGGGGTAGAGCTGGAGCTCCAGACGGCCCCAGGTCCCCCAGAGCCACAGGCCGGTCTGCTGTGTAGAGGGGCCCCCCCTTCGGGGAGCAGGATCCCGGCTCTGGCCTCTTTTCTCAGGGGGCGGGCCGATGTCGGAGGGGTTTGGGTGCGGCTGCGGGTGATGTGTTGGCAGGACCAGGGGCTCTGAGGTTGAGTGAGTAACGGAAGGTGAAGGGTGGACACGGGAGGCCCGTGTGAGGCCATCGCAGTACGTAAGGAGGGCGGGGACGCACGGACAGGGCCGTGGCCCGCCGTGGGGCTAGTGGGCAGCCGTCGGGTCTGCAGGGAATTTCAGAGCCGTCCCAGTTTCCTGCGAGGCTGGATGGGCGCGAGCAGAAGAGAAGGGCCAGGCAGGACTCGGGGCTTGGGCCTGGTCAGAGGAGACGGGGAGCAAACGGAGGGAGGCACCCGGCACCAGCCCCGGCACCCGGCGGCCACCTGCCTCTGGGAGGCTCCGCCCAGCCTACTCCCCCGGCCCTGGGGGCTCGGTGCCCCCAGGCGTCCCTTTCCTGCAAGGCGCTGTCCTTCGTCATCTCCTCGAGCCTGGGTTTGTGGAGGAGGCGGTGGGTGTCCCCTTTTAAGTTGCACAGCCTGACACACGTCTCTGATCCGGCCCAAGAACTTCTCTGAGCTGGTGACCCTGCAGACGCGCCTCAAGCACCTGCAGGCGGTGAAGGACGGCCGGTACGTGTTCCTGTTCCGCACCAAGGCGGCGCAGCTGGAGGAGCGCAGGCGCCTGGACCACCGGCTGGCCGCCATCGGCGCCATCCTGGACCACGTGAAGGACGAGCACCCCCAGTTCCAGGAGGCCCTGCTCAAGCTCAGACAGACGGTCGCCAGCCAGCTGGACGCCCCCGGGCCCTCCTAGCGCGCAGCCCTGCCCGCGCCTCCCAGGCCTGCCGGCCGGGAAGAGACCAGGGTGCTGCGTATTCCCTGGGAGCCGTATCTTTTTGTGTCCCCGGAAGCCACGTCCACCTGCAGAGAATGACGCTGAGAGAACAGGCCAGCGCTGCAGGACACTGGCCACCCGCTTGTTTAACCCAAGTCGCCTCCCGACCTTCCTGGTGGCGTTAGGCAGGTCATCCCTTTGCAGAGGCAGCGCCCGAGAGGCCAACCCCGTGCCCAGGCTGACGGAGCACGTGCTCCCTGAGCACCACCTGGGCTGTGGAGGCTCCCGTTTCTGCACGTGCGCACCTGCAGACTCACACCCACCTCCTCCTGGGCAGCTACCCGCTCCCACCCCACAGAGAACCGGGTCCCTTCTCCTCCCCCACTCCGGCCCGGGTTAAATCCAGACTCTCCCCCGAGGGAGACCGGGCTTACAGAGAGCCGACCGCTGAAATAAGACAGACCCACCCCAGGGCTGCCCACTGGTCCCGCCTCCAGGGTCGGGAGCGCCCTCCTCCCGCACCCGGTCCCCCAGCACCTGCTAGCCGGCCTCTCTGCAGTGGAACGGGAAGGGTTCTATAGAATTTCACTTGCACACTTTTCAACAGAAAAGTAAATATTTTTTCCTGAAGATGGAGGAAGGCGTATTTCTTCTCAAACATTTGAGAAACACAAAGCCCATAAGGATTCGGGGGCGCCACCGCCCGTGCCCCGCAGGTGCCCCGGGTTTCCCTGGGGAGAGCTCCCGGGCAGGATCACGCGTGCGCTGTGTGTCCGCTCGAGGAGCTTGCTCCTCCAAACACAGCATCTTCTCGCTGTAGGAAACGTCCTTGTCGAGCTAACGTGCTCACAGGAGTCGACTTTGCGGGTCATGACAATGTTTCCCTTTACGGAATAAGCTGTTGTTAACGGTGCTGCCCACGACTCGCTCTCTGCCAGTTCGGGGCTGAACAGCTGTGCCCTCTTTAGGCTCCAATGGCAGGAGGGCGCCCCCTGGAGTGGCCTGGCCAGCTCCCAGGCAGCCCGACAGCCGCTGGGGGTGCTCACGGGTCACCCCGTCCTTGATCCCGAAAGACAAGGTCGCGGCATCGGAGCTGCGTTGCAGGTGCGGGGGTGGAGGGCCAGACACTGCACCAG